GTGTGATGACCCAGGGTGGGATACAAAAGCAACACAACAAAGTCACAAAAATAGGTGAAGTCCCTTTAATTCCTTCAACTTGGCCTCCAAGGTCCAATTATCATTGACTGGAGGAAAAACTCCCCTAGGAACAGTTGCGAAAAAGAAGAAATGCCGTTCAAACTCAAAATACATATAAATTATAAATAGAAAAAAACAACACAAACCACACTGAAGTAATTAATGAGACAAGGCAGGATAAGTGCTTGAAGACATCCACAGATATCAAAATACACACAGATATCCCCTTCCTGGGAAGGACGCCAGAACTCAGATAAGAACAGAAAGACTAGAATTATTTCACGCTTTGCTTCCAGCACTGGCCCATGCGCACTTTGTCCTTTTAAACAGTCCACACAGCTGCAGCCCATGTAGGGGATCAGGGCCCTTTCCTCCCCCGTAGACCACACCATTCACGTTTCTCCCTTATCCACTCCTCCCTGCGTGCCCTAGGATGAAGAGGGGGTGGGTCCGGGTCTTCCTCTGAATGCCCAGCCAGCCTGTCTCCTTCCCCAGTTTCCTCCACAACCTCTGGAGCCACACTCCCACTCTCTGTCAGCTGTTCCTCCTTTCCCTCGGAGTCAGATTCTAACAGGAGCATGACAGGGTTGCAGGAGGCTGTCCCAGCTGAAAACGGAGCTTGAGTTTTCGCTGGCAGAGCGCTCGGGCCACCACGGGTGCCCCCAACACAAGTGATATCAAGCTGGCCATGCCCTCTCCCCCCCCCGAGGTCAAACACAACCCTCATGCAGCCCACAATGAAATCGAGTTTGACACCCCTGGAATAGAGAATTAAGAGCCCATCTAGTTTACATCATGTCAACACTACTAGCGGTTGACAATTTATAACGCAGGGAAGCATTGCTTTTCATTCTGCCTTGTCTTTATGCCAGCCATATTCTCCTGGCCCTAGGATGGAGGCAATGGCAAAACCCTTCCAAAAAAAATGTTGCCAGGAAAACCGTACAGACTCAGATGTGCAATCATGCAAGACTGAGTTGAAATCAGCAAAACGTAAAACCACGAGACAGAAACTCTCGAAAGATGGATTGATTCCAGTGGTGGCTAAGCTTTTTGGGGCTCCCATGCCGAAAATTGTGCACGCCATCGCGTGCCAGCGCCCAGAAGGCAATGCATGAGCCTCCCCATGCCCCTTGCACATGCGTGTATGTCTCTGCACATGCGTGCGCTTCTCCCCCGCCCCCTGCCCTCCTTGCATGCACTCCAGATACCCAACGATCAGCTGTTGGGTCGGCGGTGCGCACGCATGCGTAGTGGGGCTCTTCCGGGCGACCTCTCACGTGCTGGCGGAAGTGGCTCTGCGTGCCACTTCTGGCACGCTTGCCATTGGTTCACCATCATGGATTTATTCAATACGCTAATGTGCCCTAAAGGTTGCTGTGATTCGGTGTGCGGCGAGAATCCCCCGTAATCTTCGCATAGGGTGTGAATCAATACCCATTATAGTTTAGTCGTTCGTCCATGGCATGTTGTGTGAAGAGAGCAAACCTGGGTGAGCACAGCAGTTACATGAACCTTGATTTAGGGTTGACCATGTTTTGTGAATCCAGGATACACATTCTCACCCCTTATTAATACAGGTAGTCCTCAAGTTACCAAAGTTCATTTAGTGACCGTTCAAAGTTACTGAGTGACTTATGACTGTTTTTCACAGTGATAACCTTTGCGGCACCCCCTGATTACACGATTAAGGGGATTCTAGGCAGCTGATTCATACTTACAACCGTTGCTGTGTTCCAAGGGCATGGGAGCACCTTTTTGCAATCTTCAGACAAGCAAAGGAGAAGCCGGATTCGCTTAACATTGAGGTTACTAACTCATCAAACGGAGGCAAGAAAAGTCATAAAGTGGGGCAAAACTCCCTTAACAAATGTCTCCCTTAACACATTTTGGGCTCCATTGTGGTTGTAAGTCAAGGACTACCTATAGATCCATTTCCCATTTATACCAGGGATACTTCAATTTGGTTGCTTTTGGGAGGGAGAGAAAAAAACAAGAACCAAGTACGACTTTATCTGAGAAAGGTTGGGAAGTGTTGTAGCCTGTTGGCTGCCAGCCCCTCCAACAACTGAATCCAATGAGTGGGAGGCATGGGAGTGAGGGTCAGCATTCAAAGCAACCTGAGAGCTCCAAGGGGGAAGAGGGAATGGAGCTGAGAGAGAGAGAGAGAGAAAGAGAGAGAGAGAGAGAGAGAGAGAGAGAGAGCACTGTAGAAATCTATGGGCCGGTTCTTGGGACAGAAGAGCCACCGCTACTAGCGAAGGCCCACTCATCTCTGGGAATAAAAGTCAGGGGGCAAAGATGAATAGATGTGGCCAACAACTATTCATCTCCCTGCTGGACAGACTTGTTAGCCTGAGGAGAATGAGAAACCTTTGGCCAGGACTGCCGGCGCTCCTAATAAAGGACTCATTGCTTCAACTCCAGAGGGGTTGTCATGTTTGGGGAGCTGGGTCAGAACAGGAAGGCCCTTCTTCATGCAGAGGTTCATTAAACCAAATCCTTGTTCTCTAGGATCATCAAATTCATTGCTGAGTTCATTGGCTGCAGTACAGGAGCTCTGTCCGGTTTTGTCTTGAAGGGATCAATTTATTTACCAAAGCTGATCTAGCTTCAGGTTTTGCTTTCCTTTAACCTAATTGCCAAGGAGAAAAATAGAGGCACGATGAAGTTTGCCTCTTCATCGTGTCTGCCTTCATTATTAAACTCCACACCGTAGCCAAAGGAATGATTTTCAGATTTGGCCTTTGTCCTTTGCTTGAGCTGATGAAAAAGAGCAGAATATTGTTTTCCCTTCTCCTTTACACTTTATCTTTGTTATCAAAATATTTGGCCTGAAGAGTTCCCAGACTGGTTGTTAGAATGGGAGGAAAGATACCCTAAGGCAGGGGTCCCCAACCACTGGTCCGCGGACCTGTACCGGTCCGTGGAACAAGTCCTACCGGGCCGCTGGCTTGCTGGGCGCCGCCATCTTGTTTTGATGAAAAAGTGCTTCCGGTGAGCTTTTCCAGGTAGAAAGCCATTTCTACCCGGAAAAGCTCACCGGAAGCGCTGGGCACCGCCATCTTGTTTTGATGAAAAAGTGCTTCCGGTGAGCTCACCGGAAGCACTTTTTCATCAAAACAAGATGGCGGCGCCCAGCTGATGTCGGTACCGGGCCGCGCCATAAAAAAGGTTGGGGATACCAGGCCGCGGCGTAAAAAAGGTTGGGGATCATTGCCCTAAGGTATAGGTATAGCCCTCAACATAGGACTGTAAGGGAGCCTCCTCAATGTGGTCATCTTCATGATAACAGCGTTGGAAGGGACCTTGGAGGTCTTCTAGTCCAAGCAGGAAACCCTGGTCAGGGTTGTTCCAAAGGTGCTTTTTTTCAAGAGGCACCTGGACTTTCTGGTTGGTGTTGTGTTAGTTGTGACTTCTTTGTAAATTCTGTGACCTGTTCCCATACCACAAAGTCCAGTTGCCTCTTTAAAAAAAGCACCTTTGAGATTTCAGACAAATGCTGTCCAATCTCTTCTTAGAAACCTCCAGTAATGGGGCACCTACAACTTCTGGAGGCGAGTCGTTCCACTGATTAATTTTTCTGACTGTCAGGAAATGTCTCCTTAGTTCTAGGTTGCTTCTCTCCTTGATTAGTTTCCATCCATTGATCCGTGTTGTGCCTGGATTTTATGACTTTCTTTTTGCAGTGGTCATTAAGTGAATCCTAAGATGAACACCCCCCCCAGTCAGATAACAGATAATCAGAGTTGGAAGGGACCTTGTAGGTCATCTAGCCCAACCCCCCATCCAAGCGGGAGACCCTACACCATTTCTGACAAATGGTAGTCCAATCTCTTCTTGAAAGTCTCAAGTGATGGCACTCCCACAATTTCTGAAGGCAACTTCTGTTCCATTGGTTGATTGTTCTCACTGTCAGAAAGTTTCTCCTTATTTCCAGGTTAAATCTCTCCTTGTTCAGTTTCCATCCATTATTCCTTGTCTGGCCTTCGGGTGCTTTAGAAAATAGCTTGAACCCTTCCTCCTCTCTGTGGCAGTCCCTCAAATATTGGAAGACCGCTATCATGTCTCCCCTGGTCCTTCTCTTTACTAGACTAGCCAAGCCCAGTTCCTGCAACCGTTCATTGTATGTTTTAGCCTCCAGTTCCCTAATCATCCTGGTTGCTCTTCTCTGTACTTTTTCTAGAGTCTCAACATCTTTTTTATAATGTGGTGAACAAAACTGGATGCAGTATTCTAGGTGTGGTCTTACTAAGGCTTTATAGAGTGGTATTAGTTCTTCCCTTGATCTTGATTGTATCCCTCTGTTAATACAATTTAGGATTGCATTAGCTTTTTTGGCTGCTGCTGCATACTGCTGGCTCATATTTAGCTGGTTGTCCACTAAGACTCCAAGATCCCTCTCACAGTTACTGTCCTTAAATGAACCCATGGTTCACTATGGATGAGTTTTTGCCAATAAACAGTTTTTGGCAAAGGTATCACAAAATACTGCCGGACACTACAAAGGGCCATAAATAGTTTTATGGTTGAGCAGTCATATAATTGTGGAGGGGGCCTGACCGTCAGAACTTGGGATCCTGGTTGAAAGTTTCCTCTTTCAGATCCACTGTAATTTTGAATGGTTGCTAAGCAGCTAAATGTAAGTCAAGGACTATCTGTACTGCATTCATTCTCTGTGCGGTTTCTTTGTGAGTTTTGAACTAGGTCGTTCTTTTGGCTTACTGAAGATATATGCAATTTAATATGCAAAAATTTGGAGCTTTGTCAACCATATAGTCAAAATGAGGCTTTCAGTATCTCATTCACCAGTCTCAAGTTTACATCATAACACATTTTTTACAAAAAAAATTTTTTGCGTCATGGCAATTTGTTTTAACAAGAATTATGGTACTATTTCTAGGACTGAAATATACTCACAAAACCCCATCTTTTTACAGGTTTGTTTCCACAATATATCTTGAAACAGCAACCAGAGATGAATACATCTGTGAAGAATACAACCAACCCAATGGACCAACCCAACCAATTGATCAACTAGTCAACCCAACCAACCCAACCCAACCAACCAACCAACCAACCACAGAAGCAAGAAAAGTTCAGTGTGTTCCATACATTTAGAGATACATCTCTTTGTACACCATTGAGGGGAAATATTGAGTTGTTAGATTGGAGTTCCAGCATCAATAGCTGGCCACGATGCAGAACTGCCCCAGAATTGATGGCCCCTGGGAAAGGATCTTAAGAAAGATTTGTGGTGAAGATGAAGAAATCTGAGATTAGAAAAGCCACAATGGGTTTGTAATACAGGAAAAAAACAACCCACCTTTTAAAGAATCTAAATCAGGAGTCTTCAAACTTGACAGCTTTAAGACTTGTGGACTTCAACTCCCAGAATTCCTCCTCCAGTCATGTTAGCTCAGGAATTCTGGAAGTTGAAGTCCACAAGTCTTAAACTTGCCAAGTTTGAAGAGCCTTGGTCTATCTCAACCCATTGAGAACTATTGTTCTGACAGAGACATCTGACTGGGCCTGCAAGGACCCAAATTTTAATGGACCAATTTCTTATTTCTGAAGATAGTCTCCCTCACAAGGTTGCTATTGTGGGAATAAAATTAGGGGAGACTCCTGTGTAAACTGCTTTGAGATTCCCCGAGAAAAGAAGGATTAAAAATAACAGTAAAAGAAAATGGAGAAAAGAATGTGACAGCTTTAGCAAAATGTTGGTGAAAAGAGAACAGATAGTTCTCAACTTACAACGGTTCATTTAGTGACTGAATTTACAACAAAACAAGTGACTTATGACCATTTTTTCAAACTTAAGGCCATTGCTGCATGGTCACATGATCAAAATTCAGATGCTTGTCAACTGACTCATATTTATGATGGTTGCAGAATCCCAGGGTCATGTAATCCCCTTTTGCAACCTTCTGACAAGCAAAGGCAGTGGGGAGGCCAGATTCACTTAACGACCGTGTTACTAACGTAACAACTGCAGGGATTCACTAAACAGCTGTGGCCAGAAACATCGTAAAATGAGGCAAAATTCACTTAACAAATGTCTCCCTCGGCAACAGAAATGTTAGGCTGAATTGTGGTTGTAAGTTGAGGACTATTGACAAGGTGGGTTATATAGCATGTTCCTCATATTGTAGAGAGGATACTGCCCATTACAGTAAAGTACTATCCTTAAAATATAATTTATGTTTATAGTACCCATGATTTTCTATTCAATGTCTTTGCTCGACAAAGATGAATTGTTCTACTTTCAATACCTGTTTTATTAGAAAGCCACAATGCATTGTAGCAAATTCCATTTGAGCCAGCTTATTCATAGATCAAATTCTGTTAGAATCGGGACACTTGCACCAATGAGGAAAGTGCATTGTTTGGAAAATACGTGATGACATACAGTACTCAGAAGGAAATGTAATTAGTGGCTGCTACAGAGGATTAAATCCCCAAGATTTCGTTTTTATCTGTTGTATTCCCAATAATCATATTCATCTTGGCCTTGTAACTGTAATTTTTTTTTTAAAAATAACATTAGTACTATTAAATACATGTTTGTCTCAACTGAGAATGTTAATGAAAACTTTGGATGTTAACAATACAATAAACGCCATTCGTTGCGACCTTCTGTTCTTGATTTCTTTTGTGGTTTGGTTTAACTTTCTTCCGCAGAGGTTTCATGGCGACATCATTTTCCGATTGCTATAAAGCCATTCTGAAAATGAGCTACAGAGGTCCTGTCAATTCAGGAAGCTAGGGAACGAAAAAAGGGATTAAAGTTTTCACTAGCTGTACAAAAAGAGCGGTTAAAAAAGAGCTTTTTAGTTGGCATCGCATTCTTTGTATTGCTGACCTCAAAGCTACCTATTCTTCCCTGCCCCATCAAAGAACGAAAAAAGAAAAAAAGGAGATATATTTTATCTATTCTCCTGTCACCTTTGTGTTCTTTGGCTAGGAAACCGAATGCTTTGATTGGGAGCCGACCTGTAGAACTGAGCTGGCTTGAAGGAGCCACGGTGGTGCAGTGGTTAGAGTGCAGTACTGCAAGCTACTTCTACTGACTGCCGGCTACCTGCAATTTGGCAATTCGAATCTCACCAGACTCAGCCTTCCATCCTTCAGAGGTTGATAAAATGAGGACCCAGATTGTTGGGGGGCGAGAGGCTGACTCTGAAAACTGCTTCGAGAGGGCTGTAAAAAGCACCGTGAAGCGGTATATAAGTCTAAGTGTTGTTGCCATTGCTATACCATTTCAGACAAGTGACTGTCCAGTTTCTTCTTAAAACCCCCCAGTGATGAAGCACCTACAACTTCTGGTGGCAAGCCGTTCCACTGGTTAATTGTTCTCACTGTTAGGAAGTTTCTCCTTAATTTCAGGTTGCTTCTCTCCTTGATCAGTTTTCATCCATCACTTCTGGAGGCAAGTTGTTCCACTGATTAATTGTTCCACCTGTCAAGAAATTTCTCCTTAGTTTTAGGTTGCTTCTCTCCTTGAGTAGTTTCCATCCATTGTTTCTTGTCCTGCCTTCAGGTGCTTTGGATAATAGGTTGACCCACTCTTCTTTGTGGCAGCCTCTCAAATATTGGAATACTGCTGTCATGTCACCCCTAGTCCTTATTTCTCTAGACTGGCCAAACCCAAATCCTGCAACTGTTCTTCATATGTTTTAGTCTCCAGGCCTTTAATCATCTTCTCTGCAGTTTTTCCAAAGTCTCAACATCTTTTTTTTCGTAATGCGATGACCAAAACTGGATGCAGTATTCCAGGTGTGGCCTTACTAAGCCTTTATAAAGCAGTACTAACACTTCATGTGATTTTGATCCTGTGCCTCTGTTCAAACAACCAAGGTTGTATTAGCATTTTTGGCTGCTGTTGCACACTGCTGGCTCATGCTTAAGTCCACTAAGACTCCAAGGTCCCTTTCACAGCTACTGTTTTCAAGCAAGGTTTTGCCTTACCTGTACGTATACCTTTGATCTGACTAAGTATGGAATGCTATACAGGTAGTCCTTGACTTACCACCATTTGTAGATTCACAACTGTAAAATTCCACTGAGCAAGATTCAAAGGGTGTCGAATAAAGAGGTCTTTAAATGTCAAGTAGAAGATCAAATATCTGTTGACGGGTGATCTTTTCATCAATGTGAAATATTGCCCATCTCAATCTCATCCATTATCTTCAGTATAATGCAATTTTGAGCAATTCAGAAGCATGTTTCTTACTTCTGTGGGCACAGACTAACTCCCCCACCCTTGTGCTAATTAATATCTTCTTTGTGGCGGCCATTGCTGACCGCCGCTCCACCGCTTTCGGAAAAGGAAGTTAAGCCAGCTGAGGAGGGGGGTTGCGATTCCCCCGGACCCCCTGCCGGATCTCCTCTATCTTCAGTTACCTCTACAGGGTAACTATATCCCCCAAATCCAGCTGGATCGGGGGCACTCCAGCGGCGAGCGCAGCAGAAACCGCGCACGATCGCGGATTCCTGCCGCCGCCGAAGCCTCGCAAACCGGAAGTCTGTGCTAATTAATATCTTGAATGTGAAACATTGAACAATTTGTTTTAATAGACCACAAAGTACTACTCTCGGCCAGAACCTTGTAATTGCTTTGCAATTAGCTAGCTTATGTATGGAATTCATCATCTTCATCTTTATCTTTGAGGTTTTTCTTCTCCCAGCTTTGAATGCTTGCATTCAGTTTTAATTTGCTTACATTTTGGCTACCCTTTCAAAGCAACACGGACCTCATCAAAAGAACAGTTTTTGTTTCGAAAACACCCTCTACATGAAATTCACTCCACAGATGACATTTAAAGATTTCCAGCTCCATGCCTCCTCCTACATATTGTGGAGAAGACTCTGCAAGAGTTCTGGCTCCCTCAACAATACATTCAAACAGCTGCATAGGCTTCATGTGTGATTGATTCACCGAGTTCAACACACAACATGCTGTGGGATTTTGGTACAGCCATTACTTTACATTTACCCAACCATTCAAATCTAGACAATGTTGTTGTTTGTGTGCCCTTCAAACTTGTAGATGTTGTAGGGACATTTTGAGGACTTTTAAAGAAACATTTGTCATTACAGCTGGTCCTTAACTTACAGTTAAGCGAGTTAAGCGACATGCCCAATTTTACAACCGTTTTTTTGCAGCAGGTGAGCATATTGCTGTGGTCATTAAGGAAATCAGAAGGTTGTTAAGTGAATTCAACTTTCCCTATCAACTTCGCTTGTCGGAAGCTGGCTGGGAAGGTTTGCAATTGGCGAACACATCATCCAGGAATGCTACCACCACCATAAATATAGTACCTGCAGGCTGCGAAGCGCCCAAATTTTGTTCAGGTGACCATGGGGATGCTTGCAATGGTCATAAGTGCGAAAACCAGTCATGTTCTGACCCAAACCTTGTTCCAAGGAAACAAACACAAAACAGAGGTAACAGTAAAACCTTTTAATGATTCTTTACGAATTCAGTTCCTTCCCGGTTCAAAGGCTGTTTCAAGCTAATTGTCTCTGATAAGAACGAGCCTTGCCAAGGTTGTGCAAGGCTGCCAAGAACACTAGATTAAGTTACTAAGAAATTTCAAACACAAAGAGTTTCCAAACACCAACCAAGATATTCCAAACATCCACAAGGCTTGAGTGCAAAAACTTCTTTGCTTCCTGCAAAGAACTCTGGTTTCTCAGCTGGCTTTTATCCTTAAGGGAGGAGCCATTACCTTGCAGCCTTACTCCCAAGTCGCCCATGCTGCTGCAGCTGCTCTTTCCTTTGAGCAGCCCTGTGAGCATGCGCACTGGGCACAGGGCTCCTCAGGGACCTCTTCCTCGCTGCTGCCAGCCTCCACCATCTCCGAAGGCAGCATTCCACTCCCTGATGATCCTGGCCCCATGCTTGCATCACACGCAGGCCCCTCATCCGAGTCGTTGCTCTCCGAGACCTCAGGCATCTGCACCTGCTGCCGGTGAACCACAACAACTCATTGTTTTGCCGTGCCGTTGTTGCTCTGTGAATAATTGTTCAATGAATGGACGGTCATAAGACGAGAAGTATCTATATTTTTTGAAAAATATTTTTACTCTTAGAATGATAACGGCGTAGTTGGCTTTCAGCAAAAGCAAGCTTAAAACTCAGATAGAAGTCTTTGGTGGCGGGGGGCAGGTAGAGCAATATTTCTCAACCCTGGCAACCTTAAGCTGTGTGAACTTCAATTTTCAGAATTCCATCATGCTGGCTGGGGAATTCTGGGAATTGAGGTTCACACCCCTTCAAGTTGTCTGGGTTGAGAAGCACTAAGAGTCAGAATTCTGGTGATTGCCCTAATTAAATCATGATCCTCGAGCCAAGCTTCAAAAGAATCCAAAAGATTTATTAGGAGCAACATGTCTGGCATTAGCCCATACGAAGCCAACTCTGACCACATGTAATTTATGGTCACCTGTGACCCTGTTTCCCCACTCCCCCCCCCGGGTGTGTCATCAATCCGATTCTCCAACAAAGCACATCTAGGGGCTGGGTGTCATCAATCACGTTCTCCAATGAAGGATTTTTGGGGCGGTGCCTAGGCTACAATCTTTTTAAATAAGCGTGGAATGCAACTTCTGGTTTTCACTGCCGATCTGCTCCTTCAGGTTTCCGCCCCTTCCTGTTTACGGCAACTCGGAAACAAGCATAGGAATGTTTTACGAGTTGACGCTGAAGCTAGAGAGTCAAGAATAAATTGGGAGCTGCTAGGAGTGGTTTGCTGAGATGGATGGCTATAG